TTGTTAGGATTAATCATTATAACATCTACAGTAAGTAAATAGCCAAACAAACATAATTTATTTTAAATAGTAATTTAATAAATTTATAAAATTTTAAAAACTAAATATGAAAGCACTGTTTTACAAAGAATCTCGATCGGTGGTTTTACCTTTAATAAGACGCCGTGCTTCTCTGTGAATCATCATCAAGTCGCCCTGGTCAGAAAGCAGCTTGAGACTTTTTAGTTTTGGGTGCAGGAACATCGCTAGTTTGTGCAGGAGATGCAGTTGGAATTTTTCAGTCAGAATTTTGAGGCATTTTTCCTTCAGTGATGAAAGTGTTAAACTGTCTGATGATGATGGCTGCAGGTGGCGTTTTAGGCGGTCCAACCAGACAGTTGTTAAGTGAATGGTCGTGGTCTTGGACGCCTCCAGGGCTTTGGTAGCAGTCTTAAATGGCAACAGAAATGCAACAATGTCACTTAGAGTCTCTGGGCTCAGGTTATTAAGGCGGTTTTCCTCTCGTCGTTCCTCAAGAAGTTTGCGAACATCTTCGTACTGAACACTGATGGAGTCCAACATTGCATGCAAAGAGTTCCAGCGCGTCTCCACAGAGGCTTTCAGTGTTTTATTTAGGCGATTCTGGAGATTTGACTGCTTAAAGTAAGTCACAGGTAGTTTAGTGGAGTCGATCAAAGCAGACACTTCTTCACCAAAGACGTCATCATCAGCAGGTTTTCTTAGCGTGGTATGCAGCACAGTGTTTAACACGTGCAGCACAGCTGAGTCTCGTTAGAGTCCGTAGGGCCGCAACAATGTTTGCCCCTCTGTCAGTCACATAGACTAGTTTAGAAAAGAACTCATCCAGGCTGTATTTACGCAATGCTTGCATGATGGCCGGTCTGAGGTTGTCAGCTGTTTTCCGTAATGTGTTGTCCCATTCTGATGTGCAAAGCACTCGCTCAGTTAGCTCCCACCTGTCGTTGATATGATGCAATGTCACACACAGGTAACCAATTTTTCGGTAGTCAACTGTCCACATGTCCAGGGTCACTGCTCCACTGCTTTCAGTCAGCTGCTTTCTCAGCTCCGGGATGATGCTTTCTCGGATATCCTCAGCAAATTTAGTCAGTCTGCGTGACACGGTGGTTGAATCAGGCAGAAGTTGTCGAGCATCCACACGACCAGCTCTGGCACTGATGTCAATTAAGCCTTGAGCTAGTGCAATAAATCCCTCTCCGCACACAGTCTCAAAAGATCGAAAATCTAGAGAAACAAACTTCACTGCTAACTTTGTTACAGTGTCCTTGTCCTCTCGTCTGTGGGGTTTGAGGGCTGTGTCCTTAGAGAAGTACCGGTCAACTGTCTCAGAACCAGTGCTCCTGCAGCCGGTGATGTGATTGCTCAGCGAAGATGTACCTAACTTGCGGCTATCAAAATCTAAAAGCTTTTGACATTTTTTACAAGCTGCAAATCCACTGACAATATTGTTCTTGTCATCTCGAATGATGCCAAATTTTTCCCAAAGTAAGTAAGTAAACTTTATTTCTATATCACCTTTCACAAACATCACAAAGTGCTTCACAGAAAGCAAAAATAATTAAAAACAATAAAACAGATCACAGATATAAAAACAACAATTAAAACACAATAAAAAGCACTTAACTAAAAGCCTGTCTGAGTAAAAATTTCTTAAGATGTTTCTTAAAAGAGTCAGTAGAATCTGAGCAGCGAAGGGACAGAGGGAGAGCGTTCCAGAGCCTCGGGGCCACCACCTGAAAAGCTTTGTCTCCACAGGTTTTATAATGGTTCGAGGGACCACCAGCAGCATGTGATTAGAGGACCTCAAAGTCCTGAACGGACAGAGAGGCTTCAGAAGGTCCAGTATGTATTTGGGGGCCTGACCATGAA